TATACATACAAGCACATAACTAGACAAGAACACAGGCACACATACAAACACACAGTCATTACGCAGATGCATAGCCTGGGAAGAGATTGATGGTCGGTTGAAATTGTTGCAAGCACAAGTCGCATGTACGTTGCATGCATGTATATGTATATATATATATACAAAGTGTGTATATTTGTATATACAAAGTATGCATATTTGTATATTTAAGTATCGATGTTTGTAGGTATTGTATGTACACACGTACAATAAATGTATGCCATAATGTATCTCCTGGTACACACACGTGCGCATCAACAGTCATCCAAATTTCAACAGTTTCCTAGTTGTATTTGTAGATGCAGCCTATATAAATGTGCATTGTTCTTTGCATGCATGTATGTATTGTATACATTTGCGAAAGCTCAAATCGATCAACAAACTTTAGCCTTCTAATCAAATCTTTTGCGAATGAATTTGAATAGGTGAATAAGTAACGTGTATTCGTTCCTGATTGAAAAGACCATAAGTTGTGATACTTTTTCTTCTTCCTTCCGAAGACCACACGGAGAGTAGAAACGGGTTTCTGCGGACGGCACGCATATATGTCTCTACCTCACTATCTTAAAGAAGTTGCATTTGATGAAATTTTATGTGAATTTTATGAGACGTAGAAGCGAGCCACTTGTTATTATTATTGAAGCATCTAAACTGTAATTATTCATCAATGATGCAATCAATGATTCGTCACTGACTTACTTTCAAAATGTTAGTTCACGAAATCAAGTAGACTCAAATACTGAATAAAAGTCTGAGGGTCATGTTTCTTGAACGATCTGAGATGAGAAAAGAGTAAAAAAAAATGGCAAAAGTACAACAAACTTTGCATACACTTTTCGGAAATTTCAGCTTTGAACTGAATAGTCAAATTGAGATAAAAAAAAAAAACGTGCAAAAAATAAATTTTTAGACGTAAAACTGAATTACTTATATAGTGGGCGGGTCTCATCAAATGGCCCGCGGCCCCCTGATTACCCCCCTTCTGGTAAAGACATCTTGCACGTATGTGTGATGTTGTGTCTGCCCATGCTTGCAAACGTAGTCTTACTATAAATAAAAGTTGTTTCTTATTTGCGATCTTTAGCGTGTTTTTTTAAGTAATTAATTTTTCCGAGTGCAATGCTGAAATTCGCAAATAAAACATCTCGAGTACGCGAGGAGTAGGAAAAATACATCTGCTAATGAATGCAATGAAAGCTTGAGTATGTGTGTACGTGTGTGTACGTGAGTGTATGTGTGTGTACGTGTGTTTGTGTGCATGTGTGTGTGTGCATGTGTGTGTGTTTGTGCGAGTGTGCGTACTTACTTATGACTTTTACCTGCGCAAGCATTTGGAAATATGTGCGCGACCACACGCCACTTGTTGGTTTCGTATGACTGTTTGTATTAAAAATGTTATAACGAGTGTTTGTATTTTTGTATGTTTGCATGTATATGTACTCGCATACACATGCAAATGTATATTTGTTTATGTATTTGTATCTAAATTAGTATGTGTACTTGTATGCGGGTACGTTTGTATATGTATCTGTTAAAAGCAATGATAGACAAACTTTGTATAGCGATTAAAAATTGGCAAAAACCTAGAGTATAATTTTCTGATCCATGACGTAAGGTAAAGTGGAATTATTTTAAGTTGTTTATTTGCCATGCCAAATTCATTAACAGATGGTAGAGCAGGATTTTATCACTGCTCACGTCATCTGCAAATTTTTTTTTCATATTATTCACCCTCATACGCAATGATAGAATAAACAAGGAAAAAGCTTTTCCTCAAAGATGATTCGGTAGATAAAAATACATTGTGTAGGTATGTATGTATGTGTATTGTATGTGTATGTATGTGTGTATGTATGTGTGTAGGTATGTGTATGTGTGCACGCACGTGTGTATGTTTGTACTAGATTTCAAGTGTGAGTAGCATGCATTAGCATCGTAGAACAACAACATAAAAAAAGCCTGGAAAAACAACGAAGAAAATTTGTATAAAAAATAATTAAATTCATAATCAGAATGAAAAAATGAATTTGAGATGAAAAAGCTATTGTTAGCAATTCGCTGGCGTAATTTTTGGTAGAAGTGCCATTTCTAGCCATGTTATAACGTAATGACGTGGTTCGAAAACACTCTCTCTCTTCAAAACACAGAGGCTTCATGTGTGCTCGTATGAGACGGTGTTTGCGCGTGTATACAAAATGTGTATGTGCGTCCTGCGGTGTGGATGTGTGGTGTGTATGTTTCATGTAGCCTGTTTGTTGTGTGTGTGTGTGTGTGTGTGTGTGTGTGTGTGTGTGTGTGTGTGTGTGTGTGTGTGTGTGTGTGTAGCAACAAAAGTTTAGATTCAATTATTATTGAATGAAATATTAAGTTATGCGCATCCTAAAAATAAAAATCTGTAGTGTAGTGTAAGAATATAAAAATGAACGAACGAACAAACAAACGAATGGATGAATGAATGAACGAACGAACGAACGAATGAATGAATGAATGAATGAATGAATGAATGAATGAATAAATGAATGAATGAACCAATGAATAAGTATATGAATGGATGGATGAATGGACAAATTAATAAAAGATAAGTGAGTGACAGAATGAATCATTTTTTGGATGAATAAAATGCATAATAGATGAATAAATATCGTAATTGAATGAATAAACAAACCGAACAATGCTGATATAAACCCGCATATATATATATATATATATATATATATATATATATAAATGAATAGATAAATGTTAAAGTTAACAAATTAAAAATCTCAACGGTGAATAACGGTTTATAGAACGTTTTCAATTAAAATTAACGTAACCGAATAAAAAACAAACACACTCACACACACAAACAAATAAAAGCAAAAAGAAATAAATAAATTCATACTAGTGCCAAATTTAATTGGAAACATGAAACTAAATGATAAAAATTTCGCGAAATTGGCAGATAGAATTATGAATTATGTAAGAAGAGACAGTTGATCGTACGAATTTTGTAGCTTAGCAGTGCTACTACTATTATAAATTTGTCATCCCAAACAGTTGAACCTAGAGAGAAAACAATGAAATATAACCAGCTGACTGAGTGAATTTTATGTTTATGGGGTTGAGTTGAATAAAGAATTTTAAATAAAAAAATTTATTTATTTATTTATTAAAATTTTTGCTTTGAATGTTCTGGTTAGATTGGGTAGATGGAAGTTTGCATGTGATAGTTTAATAAACGAGGGGCAGCGGGCAGATAAGATCAGAAAATATATGACGGAAATGCATCAACAGAAATCTGAATTGTCATTGGGATGGGGAAGAAAAGCCTCTCTCCTTTTCTCTCTCTCTCTCCTTCTCTCTTTCTCTTCGTTTCTTTTTCTCTTTATTCCTACCTCATTTTTTTTCTCTTATATCCTTCTCTACAATACACACATATACAATACACACCACACATATAGTTCTATCTGTGCTATGTATATATAATGCTAATAGGTATGTAATGTTAATTTGTAATTAAAACGCAATTTCAACTGATAGATTGAGTGAATGAAAAAGAAAAATTGAAAATTAAATGAATGGATAAATGAATGATGATAATATGGCAAGCCAATTAGAATCTTTCGTTCATTATTCAATTAATTTAATTTTTTTAATAAATAATAAAGGTCATACTGTTATCTCAGCGCACATGATGATGATGATGAAAATATGAGTGAGTGAGTGAGTGAGTGATTAAATTATTTTGAAGCAAGTCTGGCGAGATACGCTATCAAACAAAACATTTAACAGACAAACTAAATAAAGACAATAACAACAACAACAACAACAACAAAATAATATAAAAAATAATAACATTAACAATAAAAATGAAATATTATTCATAACAACAAACCAACGCACTTTTAACATAATGATGATGATGATAATGATAATAATGATGAAATTTTTCTGTAATGATTTTTCTGTAGTGTATATGATGATGCGTTTATGATGATGATGCTAATATGAGTGATGATTAAGAAGAAGATGATGATGAAGATAATGATGATGATGAAAAAGGGGAAGAAAAAGATGAAGAAGATTAAGAAGCTGATGACGATAATGATGATGAGAATGTAGATGGTAAAACCGGAATAACGTGATGAAGATGATGATGGTGATGATGAAAATGATGATGATGATGATGATGATAGCGGAAAAAGAATGTAAAAGAATGAGATCAATGATGATGATGACGATAGTAGTGATAATGATGATAACGATTTTATAAAGTTATGATAATGTTAGCAGCAAGAAATGTAAACAATTATATTAAACAACATCTACATACAGGCAACGCCGCGCAAATACACAGTAATAGAACATGTCCCATATCATCACCACCATTCTCATCATCATCATCATCACATCATCATTATCATCATCATCATCCTCACATCATCATCATCATCACATCGTCGTCATCATCATCGCATTTTCATCATCATCATCATCATCATCATCACTAATGTATCGTTATCATTTCTTAGTGAGGGAAAGGAGAAAAATATGTCTATTAAATATCTGTGTGTCTGCGTGTGTGTGTATGTGTGTGTGCGTGTGTGTGTGTGATGATAAGTTGACCTAATTTCAAACCGTGACCTAATTATACAGTGTGACTTTGATAAATCGCTTGGTTGTATTCATGTACGTTTAAATAGTTGTTTAACTAATTATTAAGCTGTATTTTATGAATGCATACGTTTGTGTGGATTAGACGAGGAGCTAACTAACATTATAAGATAAAATAATGCTTTATTTAATTATTTGAAAATTTATAGATAACGAATGTTTGTGTGTGATTATAATGACGATGACAATGGTGATGATGAAGATGGTGAGGGTGATGATGAATATGATGAGATTCATGATGATGATGGTGGTGACGATGATGACGACGACGGCGATGATGATGATGATAACTGAGGTGAACTTCTTCAGGAGTGGATGGAAGGTTTTATGGAAATAACTGCTCTGACATCCATTAGAGGCAGCTGGAGCTTATAAAGCGATAAATTCAGTAAGAAAAACTAAAAATGAAGTAGAAAATAAAAGTTAACTGAAACAAGTACCATAGCTGAATGACAATGATACTCTCATATATCAGTATCATTGTGTATCATAGTATATCACTATTGGTATCAACAAAAGATAGAAAAAGATGGAGACTCTTGGTGACTACCTATTGCTGCCCTGGGCTGGCAGACAGAAGATGTTGATGGTTATGATGATGATGATGATGATTGGTATCATCATCACATCATCATGATTGGTATCATCATCAAATCATCATGGTTGGTATCATCATCACGTCATCATGATTAGTATCATCATCACATCATTATGATTGGTATCATCGTCATTGTCGTTACGGGTATTCTCATCAAGTTATCATTAGTTAAATGTTACAATTGTAGACAATAAATACAAAATTTAGTAAAATTATTTTTCGTTGTTTAACTTAATCGAAATTGTCTAGCTGAAATTTTCAGCAAGCCATCCGATCCAAAGATTATTTAGTCTGAGATATCGATGATGTGATATGATTATGACGTGATATGATGATCTGACAACATGATGGTACGACGCTATGATGTGATATGTGATGAAATTGTTACAGTGTTTCTATTCCGTTTAACAAAAGGTTTAATACTATAGTTATTATTATTTTTATTATTATATAATTATGTGATTATAATTATTTTTATTTAAATTTGAAAAAGGACTGAAATTAAATATCACAGAGAAAAATTTGTAAAGGTTGAACAAAGATGAAACGTGATAGCGATGTTAAGATAAACAAATAGGAGTCTCAGAGGCAATTAATTAAAACTATTAACCTAATCATAAATTTTAACATTTTATCAGAGCTATAACACCACCAACATTCACACCATCAAAACCATTACCATACAAAACTTAAACGGTCGTATCAACTTAACAGACCCCTATCTATGCATGTGTGTGAACCCCCCACCAGTCAACCATCACATTCTAAATGAAAATTAAAGTTACAAAACTAAACCAAGGAAAAATTGGTCAACGCGATTTTACATTTTTAATTTACATTTTCCACATTTTACATTTAAAAATATTTTCTGGCCATTCAAATAAACTCTGAAGATACTAAATGAGATTACAGGATCGCCGAGTCAATTTGAATGAATTAAACAACCAAAATGAAGCGCTAATAACAAAGCTACATGTCGGAATAGAATAAAAGCCAGAAAGGTTATATAAAATTTAAATGCTATCGATCAAAATTAACACACCAAACATTTCAACAAACACACAACTTTTATGTTGTGTTTAACAGATTGCCAAAACAACGACAACCAATCAACAAATAACACAACAACAGCAACTAACCAAGAAACAAACTGGTGCTTTGCTAACACAACTACAGCCATGGAAAGATCAAAAACAACCATACAATTCTATCTACAGCAACCACACAATACTTACCACAACGACCACACAATTCTAACCACAACAACCACACAATTCCAACCACAACAACCACACAATTCCAACCACAACAACCACACAATTCCAACCACAACAACCACACAATTCCAACCACAGCAACCACACAATTCCACTCATAACCACAACGACGACACAGTCACAGCCACAACTGCCACACAGACCTGTGACGAATAGGGCACTCCACGCTCCACGACAGCCATGTTCGATCGCATCATGCCCCCCATCATCGCCTGGCCACCGACGTTTCCTCTACCGTTCAGGTAGTAACCACCGCCAGAACTAGTTATAATAAAATTATTATTATTATTATTATTATCATCATCATCATCATCATCATCATCATCATCATCATCATCATCATCATCATCATTATTATTATTATTATTATTATTATTATTATTATTATTATTATGACTATTATTATAATTACTATTATTATTATTTAATGAATGTTGAAAAATGATTATATTTTATTAAATACATTGAATAAACGTGAAATGAATAAACTTAGAATGACATCAAGAATTTGTATGTAATAATAATTACGTGAAATTGAAAAGAATGCCTTGTTTAGTAGAACAGAGCAAAGTTTAACTGGAGACTAGGGCCAGTGATAAATTATGGACACCGTATACAATAAATATACGAAGAAATGCATGTCGAACAGCCAGAATATAAAAATAATATTCGAATCTAAATATCTAACGAATATTATAATTGCATGTGCATATAATATAATATAATTCTATTGATGTGAAGGCTGACGTATTTTGATACAACTTAGACAAGAGTATGTCAAATAACTTTGGAAACAACAAAATTCCATTCCTCTCCTTCTCATTCTCTTTCCTCTCTCTCTCTCTCTCTCTCTCTCTCTCTCTCTCTTTCTCTCTCTCTCTTTCTATTCTCTCTCTTTTCCTTTTTTTCTCTCTTCATTTTTATCTTTTCCCACAATCACTATATATTCTCTTCTTTTAATTTCTTTATAAACATGAATTTTTTTCTCGTTCGCATTTTCTTTCGTATATTTAAGTCACTTTCTGATTATGCGTCTGATTTTTGTTCTTTTCACGCATACAGAAAGCAGATGGCTGAAGAAAAGTTCAACTCAAACAACTTTTACAACTGGAATTTTAAAAAATGACTGAAAAAAATGGTTGTTTAAACAAAAGCTGTCGAATATTTTATGCGATATATCAACAAAGAGACCTACTTTAAAGCGTTTTGATTGGTTGGTGACATCATCCTAGAATATTCCATGCGACCCATTTTCGAAGTGTCATAGTAGGACATCTCGTTAGGAGGATAGGTGGGGGAGGACCAGCTCATGGGGCCTGAGGACATGTGGTGAGGGGGACCCTGTTGTTGTTGCTGTTGTTGCTGCTGCTGCTGTTGCTGCTGCTGTTGCCACGACATCATTTCAGGACTATAAAGTTAATTTGAAGATTACTAATTTCAAATTACACAAATTATAAAAATCATAAAGAAAATATAAATTTGCTATAAGAATAATGTTATTTAGAAAGTTTATAAAACATAATGTAAATGTTCAATACCTTTGTTGCATGTTGTTCGATTGTTGAGGTTTTTGTTGCAAAACTTGAGGACACTGGACAGAGTTCATGACAACAATTCACAAGCAACACTACTAATTCAACAATTCACATGCAACAATTCACTCAACACACAATTCATTCAGTTATTATTTTCAAACAAAATTGTCCAATTGTTCAGCTGCAGCGATCTATTTCAACCTCGTAACTTTTTGAACGATGCTGTCCATTGTTGCACTTTATTTCAATTATTCCTTCAAAAAAAAGTTTAAAATATTTAGTACTAAATTTCAAAAAGAATATAATACAAAAATGAATCAATACGAAGAATAAGAGATATATGCACAAAACAAATCAATTTGAAAGTCCCAAAAAACGATTTATAAAGCTGTAATGTTAGAAACATTCATTGTTAACATTGTGGATGAATGTGACTGAAAAACATTTATTGTTGGAGTTGTACAGGACAACTGATATCAGTGGCAAAATTTTTACAAGCACATTACAAGCAGTCTACCTACAGGTTTTTTAATAATGCTTAAAACATCATAAACACTGGTTCAATCTAAAAGTTTTTCTATTCTGGCAAAAATCGGTCACGTTTTTGACCTCACAAGAATTCAATTTTAGTTCAAACGATTATTCCAATGGCAGTCATACCTCACTCTTTCCACCGTCAATCCAACACATCAAATGCCTCACCACAAGAAAATATGCACACCATGCATCAAAACAGCTGATACCACCACTTTACACATTCAGCAGACAGACAGCTCGGTGCGTTCCGATAAGTTGCTTCATTATGAAGAGCATTAGGACATAATACTTATTAATAAAAGTGCCTGGTCAATGATTAATTTCATCAATGAAGATTTAAGCGACAAATCAAGGTAAGCATACCACAAGTGTGTGCCTTTAATATACCTAGAATATACCTAGAAACGTCCAATAGAGTTGTATACATTTTATACATGTATACAACAGAGTTGTATACATTTTATACATGTTATATTTATATATATATATACACACACACCACACACACACACACACAACACACACACACGTATATATACATATATGTGTGTGTGTCTGTGCCTGTATTGCGTTTAGTTAGTTACACAGCTGCATGACCTATATTTTAGCATGAAAATTTAGATGAATTAGATGGATGAAAGCAATGTAACCAGCCAGCCGACAGTAAATATAAATATACATCAATGCCTTTACGTAGATTCAAGGAAACACTAGACCTCTTTCTAAACAATACACAAGTGTTGATAAAGAATACATACAATTATTGGCATATAAATGGGTTCACTTATATTTGTGCGTATGTATGTATGTGTATGTTTGTATTTTTGCATTTGTATGTGTATGTGTGTATGTATGAATGAAATTTTTCAATCTATTGTCTTTTGATATATTACCTGCAAATTCTCTAAGTGAATTAAATGCATTAGATGCATTTTATACCGCATTCAAATGTATTACTCATGCATAAAAGTGCGTGTTTATGAAAAATAAATAAACATCTGTAATAAATAATTAAACAAACGAATAAACAGACATGTATATTTATTTAATTTAATTATTATTATATACACACATTATATTTTGTGCGTGTAAGCGGGCGTATGCGCGCGCGTGTGTGTGTGTGCACGAATGAATGAGTGTCAGTGAAGTTAGATTAGAAAGAACAAAGAAATGAGAGAGTGAATGAATGAATAAATAAATGAATAAACGATAGAACGAATGAGAGTGTAGCTTCGTTTCACATGCTTCGTTTGTAAGTGTGTGTGTGCTTATTACAAAATATTACGCTCTGTCTGTTTTTCTGTCTGTCTGCCTGTCTGCCTGCCTGTCTATTTGGGTATTTATGTGCCGATAGTAGGATTTATTGATACACACATGAAAAATATGTTTTGTGCGTGTTCTGATGAGATTCTTCGATTTTAACATCTTCGTATAGGCACGCCTGCATCAAAATGTTGTTGAAAAAACACGCAGCAAGTAATAGAAAACTAGTGGAACTGACACAGAGTAAAAGAAATTGTGAAAATTAAAAAAATATTCTAAGGAAAAAGAAATAGGAATGACGTAAACATAGCAGTTTGAATAAATTGATAAATAGCTAGAAGACGGGCTTTGACGGCAAATGCAAATTGGTGACATTTGTCAAGAATGCATACAATCTAGTTATAAGAAATAAAAGCATGTAGATAAGATAAAATCATAAAACATTAAAATAAAATAAAACCCACACCAAGTCCAAAACACATTAGCACAAACAAACAAACAAAACACACGAAAAGAGGCAGATAATAAATCATAAATACCATACCTGCGCTGTTAATCTATCTAGCATAGCTCCAACGCAACACCAACTAGCTACTACTACCTTTTAATTGTTGAACGTTCATTCATCAAATCGAACTCAATACACACAACAAATCATTGAAACACCTTCTTGAAGATACGATGAGATTGAGCAAACATTGCATGAAAAGCAAGTCCACTCACGTCACGCAAAAACAAACAAACACACGCACACAAACACACTAACACACACACACACACACACACATATATATATGTAAATATATATATATATATATATATATATATATAATTGTTAAGAATTATATTTAAATATATATACATATGTATATGTGTGTGTGTCTGTGTGTGCGTGTCTCTGTGTGTGTGTATTTATACCTTTAGTCGTGGTCGTTTCAAAAGCAAGAAGAATAGGTAGTTTGTTTAATTTGCATGTTTCATAAAGAGAATTACGAATTATAATAGTGTATGCGTAGGAATATTTCGCAACAACACGCACAAATAGCAAATATTACTGACAAACCCAATGCAATGCGCATGCACACACACACACACACACACACACACACACACACACACACACACACACACACACACACACATACATATAATAATATTAACGCCAGTATTAGAAAATAATTAAAGCATGTAACGCATATAATAAGTGACAATAACATGATCATCATTTCGTAACATCAGCTTTCAATGAGTCTTCTGCTGCAGCTAATTAACAGAATGCAATAAAGAGATAATGCTTTGTATACACACACACGCACGCACACACACACACACAAGTACATATATACATATATACAAACGTACGTATTGTATATAAATGTATGGTACCTGTATAAATATGCCTCAAACATACAAATGTGTGTGTGTATATGCGTGCGTGTGTGTGTGTGTGTGCGTGAGAGTGTGTGTGTAAGTGTGCGTAGGTAGTTTTTATTCAAAGTAATTATGAAAAAATTATCTAGATTATTGTGTAACAACTAACGACAAACCATTTATGCTAGAAATAGTTAGAAAACAGTAATAGCACTTGGCAGCGATGAATAGTTAATTTAACTGTAAATTATACCTAAATATTGAGAACAATTTAATAGTCTAGTATAGTAGAAATAGTAGTAGCAGCAGCAGTAATAGAAGTAGCAGTAGAAGTAGTAGTAGCAGCAGCGTAGTGGTAATACTACCACTAACAAAAATAGCATCAAAACTGTTAAATCTATCACATCACGTTTATAACATCATCTGCATCAGCTTATTATATAATTTCCATAATAAAACCCAGATTTCTAGACAAAAAAATTCTTTGCTAGTTTCAATTTCATTCAAACATGACAAATGATACTATATCATGATATAGCTGTCATCAGAATGGTTATCACCCGAACCAATATCACCAGTATCGTTAGTAATAATAATTTTCAGATTTATTTCCCGTCAAAAGCAACATTGAAATACAGAATCATTTCGATAAGTTGTTTGTATAACTAAGTTAGAAACACATTCTTACATAACAATGCATTTACACAAATAAAGGAATATATATATATATATATATATATATATATATATATATATATATATATAAGTGCTCTAGACAAGTTTTTCATCAACCACATAAGAACTTTGGGTAAAATTTACACATATGTATAATGTATAAAAACATATATTTATACATAATTTAACTGCCATTATGCCATATTGTTTAGTTAGTTGGTTTATTTATTTGTTAGTTGTAATAACAGTTGTTAAGGTTATTTTGTTGTTGTAATGAACTGTATTTTCATTTAAATAGTAAGTAGTTATGTTTTTCTCCGTTTGCCTGTCTGTTTCTCTCTCCATCTTATTTTCTCTCTCTCTCTCTCTCTCTCTCTCTCTCTCTCTCTCTCTCTCTCTCTCTCATGTATGTATGTATGTTATAATGGTGTTAAATAATGAACCATTGAATTGCAGAATGAAGAGATAAATTCCTGAGTGAATGGATGAATGAACCAATGAGTGTATCAATGATTGAATAGGCGAATGAACAAATGAATGATTTAATGACCAAAAAAATCATTGAAAGACTGTTGCAAAATGGCAAAATACAAGTGAATGTATTATTGAAATGAGGATTAAATGTAATATAAGAATGTCTATATTTAGAAAAAACAAATCTATTTAGCTGAATGAATGAATGAACGAACAAACGAACGAACGAACGAATGAATGAACGAACAAACAAACAAACAAACAAACAAACAAACAAACGAATGAGCATGATAGTAATAATAATGATGATTATGAAATGATTACAAAGAGAGCGATCGAAAAAATAATTATTTTATATGGCGATGATAATAATTTTGATTGAGAATAATGAAGAAGATGATGATGATGATGTGTTGATGATGATGATAAGGATAATGAGAGTCTAATGATAATGGTTGCAAGCGAGCGACA